GCTAGTACTTGAAGGCGGTGGGCACATATTTTTGTGTTATGAAGTCAGAAATAATTGTCACTCCCCCCAAGCAAAGATTCCATGTCCACTGTTAATCATCCAAATTGCAAAATATATTTGCATTCAGCTAATTGGACCCACTCTTTACTAGATGAAATGTTATGGGTCCTAGGACAGAGCACAGTGTGAAAAGGGGCTGGAGACAAGTTGAAATTGAATGGGTTAAGTAGCACTGAAAAGGCCCTACACATGGCATCCCTCGCTATATGAAATCTGAAGATATGCAAACCCATGACTCCTGTATTTTTACTCAAAGTGGTTATCAATCCAAAACACAAAAAGGAAACGGTGATTCCAGGCAACAAACTCCAATCTGATACCTTGAGGAGAATCTCATTGGAAGTTATTTACCAAAGCGTGGGAAGCTATGGAGAAGCTACAGGGCTCTTAGAGACAGGGTGGTCAAAACTGAGTTTGTAAATAAAAGGGGAGAAAAGGTCTCTGAACCCAGAGAAAGCCATCACAAAGGGCCAGGACACTCAAGAAGGAGCACAGCCACCTGAAGGGACTGAAAACCACAGGCCCTCACCTTCTGCACCCTTGACTCCTCCTTTCAGGGTCCCTGTTGACTGAACTCAACAGAAACTGGGTCAGAAAGTCTGTTGATCCATCCCTAGGAAAGAAGGGTATGGGTGTGGAGACACACAGGGACAGAGACTGTGTCAGATGTAAAGGAGACACCCCTTCCCAGAGTGGGAGGCACACAATGAACAGACACGCTGCGGTGCAGTTGTGAAACAGCTGAGAACCAGCTGTGAACCAGCTGCGCTTTTGCCTCTCTGGGTTCTTTTAAAAGGCAAAAGTAAACCTCAGCCTCTCTTCTTTTCCCAAGAAATTCTTCAAACCAACTCCAACCATAAAGCTCCTTAGGATTAGTTGCCTCCCACCTGTGAGTGATGAGCTATGTTGTATCAGTGGGCAGACAACTGGCATCCTCAGAAAAACCGTTGGCCATGACAAGTCTACATGAGATGCTTCCACCATGTGCTAAGTCCTGGAGGGGTTCCTTGGAATGAGTGTTTTTATCCATAGCTTACACAAAAGACAAAACCTTCTCAGAGCACACCACGGTTCCCAAAGAGGCCCAGTACCATGAGAATCAGGCTACTTGGAACTGTATTTAGGTATTATTTGCTGTTTTCCTTAATCCTGAAAGAGAGCTCTCTCAGTGAATTATTCTTGGTTCATTCACACAGTTGAAAGCACTTGAAATCCCTCTCAGTTAGAACTGAACAACTGACTTATTAACGAAACTGACAATTTCCACTGAAGCCAGCGGCTTTATTTTATACTCATAGAGTTTAACTAATGAGAGAAATTCAAAGAAAAGCAGTCAGATGAGAAGGCCAAAACCAGGCATCCAACGGAGAAAAGCTTGGTGGTGGTTGAAGGGGGAACTAAGGGGAGAAAGAGGATAGAGTATCTGACCATGGCAGGAGCCAGCCTTCAGGCAAGAACAGCCTTGCTTTTAGCAGCATGAAGCACATTGCCTGTTTTATTGAGCCCCTATAGTATCACAAGTGTGAGGAGCTTTCAGAGGAGGCTGCTGAGAAGCACATGTGAGATCCATGAAGCTGGGAGTTTGTGCAATGTGTGGAGCCTTCTTCGTTAAGATAAAGGAGTCACCATCAGGTTTTGAACTTTGTGAGGCCCCTGTGCAAACGAGGGATCTGAAACTGGAGGTTCTTGGTTTTGTGATCTGTCCCTTAGGTAGCTAGCTAGAAGATGATAGATAGATAGATAGATAGATAGATAGATAGATAGATAGATAGATAGATAGATACGATATATAGATGGTTGAACAGATAGATGATACATGGATGGATGGATAGATAAATGATAAATACATAGGTAGTGATAGATGATAGATAGATAGATAGATAGATAGATAGATAGATAGATAGATAGATAGATCTCAAAAATATGCAAAAATACTATTGAACAGGAAATAACACAAAAATGAAAAAAGTCTGTATTCACAGAGAAAGGGGAAAGAGGGTGGAGGCCGTAACCAGAACTGAGGAAGGTTAATATGACCAAAATTACTTCCCTAATTACACTATGAGACAGAGCAAGATGAAGCCATTCTAAAGGCAAATTCTCGAGGGAAAACAACACTGAGAACTGCTTTGTGAGTCTGGGCCTATGGAGGTGGAGAGGAGACACAGGGGGATTAGTGTTCGGTAGCAAATGAGGGCCTCTGAGAGATGAGGAGGAGGCGTGCAAAGGCCTTCATGGCAACCCTACCCTGGAAAGCCCGTGGGATCCTCTGAACATAATTAAAGTAATCCCTCAATAACAGGCCCCAGAACACAGGGACTGCCCTCATTTCTTCTGAGTGAGAGACGGGGGTTGGGGTGAGCTTCAGGGATGTCCTTGAAAAGCACACATTGGGGTGACCAGATGGGAACAGTGGTGAAAGGGCATGTTGGCAAAGTGAGGTGCTGGGCAAGTTTTCCTTGGAGGGCGATGCTGAGAACCAGAGGTGTGAGGTCACAGGAAGAGCGCCTGAGTGTCACAAGGAAGGGTGCTCACCACATTACCTGGCATGAGGTGTTAACTACTATTAACATCGGTGAAAAGAAGGTACTTTTTTCAATAAAACTATACTTCGGGAAACACAATGAATACTAAGAGACTCGGCTTCCATTTCTGTCACCTTTTACTGAATGCCAATATATTGTCCCAACACGGAAGCCCTTGTATAACATCGGAAGGTTTTGTGGGTCAGGGATCTAGTCTCACCAGGAGTACTGACCTGGTGAAGGCCTGTCCCTCACAGGTCGGTATGCGTTGTCAAGGACACGTAGAAAGCTGAAATCATTAGGACTGGTGAACAACGCTCAATGATGTAACAGCCTAGGACAAGTGGCTCAGGGCTCCCAAAACAAATGTTCTGAGAGGGAAATATTAAATTTTTGTGACCCGGATCCAGAAGTCTGGACCATCATTTCTGCCTTAAGCATTCAGTCAAACAAGTCACTGAGGACAGCCCAGATTCGAGGACAGAAACAAGACGACATTCGGTAAGAAGAGCAACCAAGACCTCAGTGTCTACACAGAGCATGAGTCTAGCTGGCATGGTTTAAAGTTTCAGCTGAAGTCGCCCATCTGGCAAGAGCCATCCTGTTCCTAAGAGGAGAAAAAGGCTTCTTCTCCTTCTTTTCCACCACCCTGCATCTTCAGGGTTGCTGGGTTTATGACAGTAAATACTGGTGTGAAGGAAGGAAAGAGCTGGAGAGCGCTAAGGGACAAAATGGTTCCAAATCTGTGAGTTGTTAACGACCAGAGTTGTTGGGCCATTTTCTGCCTTGGAGCGCTTCAAGAAATCGAAAGGTTCTCCATTGTCACAGGTGTTAGGAATCCCTGATGGCTAGATGCTCTCCTTTGAGTCTCCTGGGAAAACTCCTCCAGCCCTGTCTTTTTTTTTAAATATTTATTTATTTATTTATTTATTCATTCATTCATTCATTTATTTATTATGTATACAATATTCTGTCTGTGTGTATGCCTGCAGGCCAGAAGAGGGTACCAGACCCCTCTACAGATGGTTGTGAGCCACCATGTGGTTGCTGGGAATTGAACTCAGGACCTTTGGAAGAGCAGGCAATGCTCTTAACCTCTGAGCCATCTCTCCAGCCCTCCAGCCCTGTCTGGTAGATAAAGTAACGACCTGGCCAAGGTCTCTGGGCAGTGGGGAGACAGTTCCGGTCTAAAGCTCAGATTCCACTTCCCAGCCAACCCTTCCTTCCAAACGTTCTGCAATGAGCCAGCTTGTAGATTTGGAGAAGAGCTCCCATCATCTCATGTCAGTACACAAAGTATAATGCCACACAGGCAAAATTGTGTCTCTGTCTTCATCTCTCTTGTCTAGAGCCTCATCTGCTCTTCCTGAAAACAAAGTCTGCATTTGTAGAAACAGCACACCAAATCTGACTGTCTCAGAATAACTGATTTTTTTCATGTATCCCAGAATAAATGGTACTCATCTTCCTGAGTGAGGACGTCGTGGTTTTTGTTTTCGAGCACTTTGCAAGAGTCAGCAAATCGAGCCTCTGCCGTCTTCTGCGTGGCGGTTGTTCTCACAGTGTCTCATTTCCTGCTATAGGCCTCACTTCTCTACACAAAGCTGTGCATCTCAGTGATAGCCTACAGACCGTGAAATCATTCCCATCACCGTGCAACAAACACAGTTACCCTGGCGAGGCAGGAGGATCAGCCACTTATCCCAAGACAGAGAACACACTACAACTGTCTCCTGCTTTTTAATATGGGACAAGCAAATATTCATCAGTGGTTCACTAGTGTGTCCTCTTGGGTCGTTTCCACATCACATTAAACAAAAAATTTGGAAGTAAAGAAAAAGAAAAATTCATTTCCCAATGACTCTTAACCATTAGCATTCACTGAGAAAATAAAGTATTTTTGGATACCATCAGTCATAGATATATCTTACGTATTCCCCCTAAACTTACTATCTATTTAGTTTTTTACTTTTGCTCTTAGTTCCATATACAAAACACTTATTTCTTTTTTAATTGTTATCCTTTGGGAATACTTTATTTACATCCTTTCCACCCCTTCCTCTTCCTCTCCAGTTTCCCCTTCCCCTAGTAAAATATTTATGTTTGATACAATAGTCAAAATATGTTTTAGAGAAAAGAGCATCTGGAGGTTGTGAAATGTATAGGGTTACCTCTGGTTTCATGATAGAACATTACATTGAGCAGAGCTGGAGGTCCCTGGCAGCTTGTGTCTTTTCTCGTCGTAAGTGGAAACATATGAAGAACTGAAATAGGTTTCCATTCAGATGTGGGAGACTAGTACAATGACAGTCCCTTCCAGAGTGGACAGTAGCCAGCTAGTATTTGTAAATCCATCTGGTCGTCATCCCAAAGGAAGCCCCCACGAATCTGACGCTGTCTCCTTGATTCACACAGGTCCAGACAACATGACGCCTGCGCTTTTCTTCCTTTACGTCTTGGGGACTGCAGCTGCGATTCCGGTAAACATCCTTCCCTTCTGTGTTATAGCTCTCCCTCCTGGCTCTGCATTTGGAAAAAACTGTTGTTGACTTGAGGTGCTGAAGCAGGAAGATCCATCTCAGGCCCCAGCTGAGCCTAAAAAGACCCAGTCCCAAGCAAAGATACCCCCACCAAAACGATCCTTCTAGGATGGCTTTGGATTTTTTGTAATTCCAATTACATTTCCATGAAGTAAATTCATAAGTAAAAGAAAAAAAATCAAGATAGCATACTTTAATAACATTTTCCCAAACAATAAGGTAAAATAATTATGCAGCCGAAAATGTTGACTATCATCTTATTAGACAGAGTCTACCCAAACAGTGGTTGGGGAGAATAAACTGTAGGTCTGTGAAAAAACAAAGAATTTAACATGTATTGCCTAGCCATTCTCCTCCATTATTCTCTTCAGGATCAAAGGCATGCTGTCTGATTTCTGAGACTGAGACTCTCTCCTGATACTCTGCAATAATAAAAACAGGACTCAGTGTAGTAGAATCGTATATGCTACGGTAATCGATGGCTGCTACCTCAACTCTAGGTTGTCCAAGACAGTATGCTCCAAGTAGGCGTGACTAGAGTGTCTTCTACTTCATGGTCAGGCACACTCTCCCCAGCACCATCTACAAAAACCACTATATGCAAAAAGCCACGTCAGCGGTTTTGGCACTATTGACTGGAAGCTTTCCTTTTAAAGCCTGGTGATCATTTCTGATATCATCTTTTATTAAACCACTTGTGCCATGTGTTTTTCTTCATCCAAGGAAAGAACTAGCCTCCTTTAGACAACATCGCGCCCTCTACTCTAGACTAAGATTCTATCCTTCCTTTTAGATGAATGGGAGCTGCTTCCAGACAGCAAAGGCAAACTCTGTCTCCCTGATCAAGCAATTCATAGAAAGAAAGGGTTTATGACAAACACTAACAATGATGCTGTAAATTAGCTCACGGGAGCAGTCCAGTTGACATTACACACTGTACTCTGAAGTTAGAAAAGTGGGATGAAGTAGCATAGAATTCCCACAAAACCGTTGCTTTTTCCTGAAAATACGCTTTCACTTTGGAATGGCCATACTTTCAACTTTATAAACAGACACCCAGAGTCTTTGAGCCAAACATTTGAAGACACTCCCACATATAGACACAAGCCAGATGTTTCCTTTCCGGGGTGATTTATCATAAGCAGACCCAGCCAGACGCTGAAAAGCTAACTGTCTTCTCAAAAGACTGGCCAGTGTAAAACGCTGCAGTATTTTCCAACCCTGGTTGAATTCTTCAGCAACTAATAGTTTCTGTGTGGTCGAGAGATTCCAAGCAGACTCTCAAGAGGGCAGGAGAAATAAACATAGACGGTGAAATAGATTTCAACTACCAGAAAGAAAATGAGCTGCCACACTAGTGTGTGCTCCGTGGAGGTAGGAGGAGCAAGAAGGTATAGGAGAGAGGCAGGGTAGGGGAGCAGGCATCCAGCAACAGGCCCAACCTCCCTCTCCATTGCCGCTCCATGATGCCCTGGGGAAGAAGAGACTTGCCAAAGCAGTCTCCACTTCTCCTTCTCCTCTTTGCTTCAGCTTCTTCCAAATCATTTTCAGTGTCAATCCTCTTAGTTGAGAAGGTGAGATGCGAAATAGCAAGCAGATCATAACAGATCCTGTAGCCACCTCTCCTTCTTTACCGGCACTGTCGGCACTAACGGGCCTGCTGGTGGGTGAGAAGACCCTGACGGTAGAGCCTGGGCTCTATACTTATGTCCCCTGCATACCCACAGGATCTCCATAAAGGCAAAATTCTGCTTCCGACACTGACAGTTCATGTGTTTTCATCACGGAACATTACTGTCAGGAAGACTAGTTTTCACGTGGGAGCTCTGAAATTTACAAAATAGTTTATGTTCACCCACTCCGTCTCTGTGTTTCTGCTCGCTTTGCCAGAGGAGGTGGAAGGAGAGAAGACAACAACTTGTCTAGTCCAGTAAAGATCAAAGAGCAATCAAGGCTTGAAGCGAGACCTCCCTCCAACTCTAGTTACCCAACTTCTGTTCTGTGCATCACTGCCCAGCTCTTGGTTGATGTCTCTCATCTTGTACGAAGCCATGGCTCTTGCTGAAGTTAGACTTCCCAGTGGCTGCTCCCTACCAGGCTCCATGCCCTGTCTCACACAATCTTTTAATTGGTTCTAAGTTAAATAGCTTGTTTAGTCAAAGGTGTCCTGATGGCTTTTAGTAAAAGCCAATGGGACCAAGAAAATAAATATTTAGCAAAAATCTTATAATATTTTCTGTTAATTTTCTGTGAGAACTTAAAAGCAGCCAAGGTGCTGTTCGGTGCTATATCCTGGGGTTAATTTTGTTTTTTCTACACTTTATGTCAAATAACACTTTCCAAGATCATAAAATATGTATGTTTCTGTCAAGATTAAAAATCCCAAGTCAAGAATAATCATTACTGAAATATCTTCTGTTTTATTTTCAGCCAGTCTTTGCATATATAGCCTTTCATAAATTTGACCATGATTCTTCAATGTAACAATAGATTGCAGGCATTTGCTGGCGGCCTAGGCAATTCTAGACACCACCATTCATTCATGTCACCAGCAAAGACTCCAGCAGCGGTGATACTGACAAAAATAACTCATGTATTTTAAGCTGGCATCTGTCTGTTAGTGGCACAAAGTCTTTGTCTTTTTCAGACGAATGCAAGGTTTCTCTCTGGTCATGTCAACCCAACGACCGCAGCATTGGTGACACCCGACGATGCGGCAGCCCCCAGTGCCGGGGTTGAAGCTGCAGCAGACATAGGACGCCACGCCAACGATAAGGTAAAAGTCATCACCATACATACTAGTGTCATCTCCTTAGTTCTCCAGAGAATTGCACATAAAAGCATGCTTAAAGTTTAATATATTCATGTCTCAGTTTAATTTTGTAAGTACAATAATCACATGAACTATCTCTAAACACTGAAAGTTATAGGGATTAATGACTGTACTTACTCCCTGTAGTCAAGTGCTATATAAAATATTTCATTTTACAAAATTTAAATTTGGGATAAACCTGTGCTTTAGAAGGTGAAGAACGGCATAAATATGTTTAGATGATAATGCACGGAGAAAGAAAGGAGACAACTTAATATTAACCTTGTAACGGTAAATATGAATACCATGTCATTTGTTTCAAGAATAAACTTTTGTTCTTTTAAGGCTGAACAGCCTTCAGCACTGAAGTCAGAAGAGGAGAACCATGAACAGTCAACAGAACAGGACAAAGCCTACAGCCTCGAGGAGGATCTCAAGGATGAGGAGGACGCGGAGGGCGATTTAAGCGTTAATTTGGACTATTCACCGACAGAAGGAGCGATCGATGCACAAGACGGTACAAGTGAGCCTCCTCAACAGGAGAAGCTCCCAGAGAGCACCGATTTCCCTGAGGTTGCGTCTACTTCCTCTGTGGATTCCAACCGACAGGCAAATGTCACAAAGGGGGAGGGAAGCCAAGAGCAATCTGAAGGGGACGCGAACCAGCAACTGAACAAGAACAACCAGCATAACCAAGACTTAATGGACGAAGAAAGTCCAGAACAAGATCCAGGTGCTCCCGATGAAGAAGAGGAAGAAGAGGAGGAGGAGCCAGGAGACGTTGGTGCTCCCGGTGATAACCAGGAAAGGGAAAAAGAACCTCCCGAGGAGCAGCCTATCAGCAAGCAGGAGGGGAACAGTGACCAATCTGATGATCCCTTAGAAGAGTCCAGTCAACCAACTCAATTAAGCAAGAGAGAGAAAAATGGGTTTGAGCAAGGAAATGAAGAGCAAGAAGGTAACTCCAATGCAGAAGGGGAGGACAAGACGGCAAGCAGTGCAAAGCACATTCAGCGTACAGAGTGGCAGGGCCAAGAAGGAAAAGCTGTCCTCGATGCTACTGGTAGCCAAAAGGACGAGGATGAAAAGACAGTTTCCGCAGAACCTACCGACGGTGTTGCCATCCTGGCCAGTTATGATGGCAGCAAGGATGACGCTAAGCATGGTACAAGTGATGACTATTTCATCCCAAGCCAGGAGCTCCTGGAGGCTGGGAAAGCGGATCCCCTTTCCTATTACCTCAAACGTGCTGAGCAAGCAACGGATGAGAATGAGAAAGTAGACAAGAGTGAGGCTGAAGACAACCAAAGGGTGAGACTGTTTACCATGATGCTTATCCAATCAGTTGGCCAGGAAACAGCCTCCACCGCTCTGTATGCTCTCACGCCCTGCTGTGTGTGCTTCACACAGTACATTCCTAAGATACAGGCCAGGCTGAGCATCCCCCCTGTGAAGCGATGGACCAAAAACACTGCAGTTTTGTTCAGTCCCTGTGACATGTGCATATACATAATGAGATATCTTGAAAATAGAATCCATGTTTAAGCACGAAATTTGTTTTACAAACACTCCCTACGTGTTTCTAGCTTAAGCATAATTTCATACAATATTTTGGATGTGACTGTATTTTAACTGTAACCTGTCACATGAGCCCATGTGTTAAGTCTCTGCTGTTGGTGCCACGTCAGTGCTCAGACAGTAGCTGGATTTCAGAGAATTTCATATTTTCAAGTGTTCAGATTATGAATGCTCACCTTGTACAATTATGTATTTGTCTGTCTGTCCATCACCAAACTGAGAGCATGCTCTGTTTGAGCCCCTCTTGGAAGCAGACCTTTGATTTGAGTGACAGGTATTTGAGAAGTACAAGAAACAATGAAAGAGAAATGTGAATATTATGTAGGAAAGGAAAAGAAGCTTTAAAAATTAATTAAATTTGTTTTTTAAGAACTCCCAAGGATTATGCCATTTGGGAGTAAGCAGCTGGGACATTTATTTTGACTGGGATTTGTTAGAGGTAATAAATCCCGAACACATCCAGTTTGCCCTTTGAATCGGCCGAGTAGATTTCTATGGCTTAGGGGGCTTAGAAATGCAGACAGTCAGTTGAAAATCCCTGCAGCTAGCTGGAAAATTCTCAATAAAGGAGCCATAGGCAGCTGCAATTCTGCTGTCTTCAAAACTGGGGTCACATTGGTCCTGCTGAACCACTGTGTCCGTCAAAGTGCCTCCAGCATAAGCAGAACCGGCACCGTTTATTGAATTAACCATAAAAATTAAAGTACTGCTTTATAAAGCAAACACATGCCCATGAAAATATGGAAATTGCAGCAGGGAAAAAGAGGAAATTCTGTTTTCATTTGGCTGCTTAATCACTTGGGACTTCCAGGCAAATTCCCAGCACACTGCCTGCCGCTCCCCACCCCAGGAGGAATTGATCCCATCTGCCTCCTCCAGAAGGAACTGACCCCGTTTGGGGTGGCAGGCAATATCAAATCCCAAGGTCTTTCCTGCCATTTAAGGTAGAAACTTTCTTACACCTCAAACCTGCTAAGAAAGTGTTATCAACACATCCACAGAGGTCACTGATGGACTTCCATCCTCATGACAGATTCCCAAGACAATGTTATGGGACAGTGCTTTGGACCCAACTCCAAAGCGGTGATCTTCCTCACATGGACTGATTCTTGCTCTCCAAGGATTACTGTCTCCCTCTGCAACTTTAGGGGTTTCCCTACTGAGAGCAGAGCATGCACAACTCAGTGACTGACTGTATGCACAGCTCAGTGACAATAGTACACACAGCTCAGTGACTGTGTGCACAGCTCAGTGACTGTGTGCACAGCTCAGTGAC